CCTCCTCCTCCTCCTGCTGCTCCTGCTCCTCCTGCTCCTGTCCTTCCTCCTCCTCCTCCTCCTACGCCCTTCCTCCTCCTCCTCCTCCTCCTCCTCCTCCTCCTCCTCCCTCCTCCTCCTCCTCCTCCTCCTCCTCCTCCTCCTCCTCCTCCTCCTCCTCCTCCTACCCAGCCTGCCCCTGCCCCACGTGGGCGGCCCGGCTCCTCGGCCGCCGCAGGCGCCGGCGCGGGCCCGCCGGGCCCCGCTGGTGGCTGGCCAGCCTCCGCTGGGCTGCGGGAGACACAGTCGGCCCGTAGCAGAAGGATGCGCGATAGGGATGCAAGGGCCTTGGACGCCCATATCGGAGGAGGAGGAGGAGGAGGAGGAGGAGGAGGAGGTGGATGAGGATGAAGAAGAGGAGGTGGAGGAGGAGGGAGGAGTAGGAGTAGGAGTAGTAGTAGTAGGAGGAGGAGGAGGAGGAGGAGGGTTTTTTCCTCCTGGGCCACGACGGGACACAAGGCGGACCCATGGAGGCCTGGACCTTCAACCCGTATGAGGAGGACGCACGATGAGGATGCAAGGGCCTTGAAGGCCAACTCGAGGCTTTTCGAGCGGGGCGCGGCCAGCGGAAGTGGCCAAGGATGGACCGAGGTGGCAAGGATGCAAGGGGTGCCCTTGCGAAGGTTGCCCATCCGCACTGTGCAGGCTGACTATAGGGGCCATGTTTGACGACCCCTGGAGGCCGAGAACGATCAACCACCTTCCGCGGATATGCTGTTCGAAACGGGATGGGTGCGACGGTTGACCCAGGACGAGAATGAATGATCAGAAGAAGAGAAAACGCCATAGATTGTAACTGTTGGCGCTCCGCGCGGATTTCTTGGATCTGTGCTGGAGCCCCTCCCTGGCGCGCGGATCGCGCCAGGGGCGACGCCGGAGGCGCCGCCGGGGGGGGCCCAGCGCAGACCCAGGAAATCCGCACGGATCGCCAAAAATGCATGTGTATGGCATGTTTTGTTCGTCGAATGATGCGATTGGCTCAAGACAAGTCCCAGAGTTATGGTATGAGCTCCGCGCCGCCGTGTCCACCTCCACCGCCTGGGGGATCTTTCTTCGGGGACCTCGCACGGGCGGTGGACGTGGAGATGTCTCCCCCACCCCCCAAGGGTTCGGTCGGGCGCGTCCTCCTACAGGCGGGTTTGGGCCAGGAGCAATAAGGAATTCTCAACAAATATTCCAAAAGGGTAAAACAAAATAATAAAAAAACAAAAAAAAAAAAAAAAAAAAAAAAAAAAAAAACGCCCCCTGACATTTTTTAACGATTTTGGAATATTCATCCTGTAGAGGGGCATGCCCGGCTTAACCCAAGGGCCCAAGATTACCTGGATCCACCCCCTGTCGAGACCCCCGAAGATCGATCCCCCACGCCGTGGTGATGGACACTGGGGAAACCAAAAGGTACCGGTACCGCTGCTGCCCGGACCCCTGCCGGGGTGCGCTCTGACCAGGATCTCGCGGCAAATCCAGCGGCGGTAACGAGGGCCTCCCCGGAGGCCCCAAAGGGGAAAACGGGCGGAGGGCAGCGGTATGGGTAATTCTCCTCCTCTGAGATACATCCACAGAGATCCGATGTCGTAATTCTTTCAATGCGGGGTCCCCGGAAATCTCGACCCATTCCCCAGGACCAGTTTTTCATCCTGAGTCGTTTTTTTTGACGATCCCGAGGCCCGGCGAGGGCCCCTAGAGGCCGAAAACTATGGAAAAAACCTCCGTCGTGATTTTTCACATGCGTTGGATCTCTGGGTGCTTAGCCTCCTCCGAGATACATCCTCGCCTCGGAGGGTCAGCAAATCAGCTTCCGCAGCGGGCTTCCCCGGCGCCTCCCAGGGCGCCAGAGGCGGCCGGGCGACGGGGCCGAAGAGCCGGCTGCGCGCCGCGGAGTTCTCGTATACCGCCGCCAGGTCCCGATCCCCCCCCTTCCGTGGAGCGATCGGAACCCAGACGTGCTCGCGTCGTAACAAAAACAGGACGCAAGGTTTTTGCCAGTTTTCGGCCTCTAGGGGCCCCTCGCCGAGCCTCGGGATCGTCAAAAAACGACTCAGGATGAAAAACCGGCCCCGGGGAAAGGGTCGGGACTTCCAGGGATGCCGTCCTGAAAGAAAAAATCAGGGCGACGCTTGTCTGGGAAACCGTGAGCATCTGGGACATGTTCGCGTTTCGAAGAGTGGCTTCAGGATGGGGGGAGGGAAACGGTGGGGCCTGGGCTGGTTCTTACAGTGGAGGCACGTCCACAAGAGACCTTCCACAAGAAACCCATCCCTGAGACCCCAGGACGTCCGTCCATTTCTGATGTGGGAGGGTCACGCTTTCCATCGCAACATCATCGAAACCCCAAAAAAGAAAACAGGGTACCCTGGAGGCAAGCAGGGTGTCTCTTGGCATGGGTCCCCACTGTGGGCGCTTCGAGGATTGGCCGAAGGGTGGGGGGAGGGGCAACGATAGGGGGGATAAGAGAAGTGGGGGAAACATCGACCTCAAATCGGCTATGCATCGCCGATAGATTGGCGATAGGCCCCCGATAGTGAATCCGAACCTTCCTGAGCAGGTTGGGGCGATCGGGCCCACATCGGCGATGAATGGGAGCATGGGGGTCGATGCGTCCCCCCTAATTGTGCCTATCCCCCCCTCTCGTTGTCCCTGACGGGGGGAGGCGTTTCAAGGATTGGCCAAAGGGTGGGAGGAGGAGCAGGAGGAGGAGGAGGAGGAGGAGGAAGAGGAGGAGGAGGAGGACGAGGAGGAGGAGGAGGAGGAGGAGGAGGAGGAGGAGGAGGAGGAGGAGGAGGAGGAAGGAGGGAGGAGGGGAGTAGAAGGAGAAAAGGAAGAAAGAAGGAGAAGGAGAAGGGAGAAGGAGGAGGAAGGAGGGGGAGGAGGAGGAGGAAAAGGAAAGAGGAGGGGGAGGAGGAAAGGAGGAGGAAAAGGAGGAGGAAAGGAGGAGGGAGGAGGAGGAGGAGGAGGAAGAGAGGAGAGAGGGGGAACGGCCAGGGCCCGGGCCCGGCTCTTCGGCGATCTGCGCTTTTGCCAGGCGCGCAGGCCCACTTTACAACAGGGGGGGGGGGGGGGCGGGTCCTGACCGGTCGCCTTCAGAGCCGCCAGCCGCCAAGAGCAGCCGAGATCTGGCCTCCTTCGCCTCCTTTTCCACCTCCTCCTCCCTCCCCCCCTCTCCGCGTCATCCTCCCTCAGCTCCGCCTCCTCCTCCTGCTCCTCAGCCCTCGCCTCCTCCTCCTGCTCCTCAGTCTACAGGGAGAGGGGGGAGGGGGGGGGAGCAGGGGCCTGCGCTGACCGGCGAAACAGTACATACCAAAAGCAGCAACAATCCGCCGCGCTGCGCCAGTTCTCCACGTTGACCAGGACACTGCCAACCAACACTCGCAAAATCCCACACAGAGGCAACGAAGAACGGAGCATGTTCCGTGACAGGGCGTGCCAACCTCCCGACGATGACGATGGCAAGAGCAATGACGTCACCGCTATCGTTCTCCAAGGGTCCCCGTTTGCGGGGACGCTCCAGCGAAGGGCCACTCATAGGGGAGGGGCAAAAGATACAGACACCACTGCCCCCTGGCGCGGGCAATAGCTATATCCACATCCAAGACGTGTGGGAGTTCTGGACTCTCTTCCCCAGAAACCGGAGGCGCACTGGATATGGATAGAATTCTGGCCCCCAAAAGGCTAGATGTTCATCCATATCCAGTGCGCCTCGGCCTTGCGGCGCCCCTTCCCCAAAAGCCCAAGACGCTCTGGATATGGATGTACGTATTGCCCGCACCTGGACCTCTCTTCTGGCCATCGCTCGGACACGTCCATTCCCTGTGCTTTTGTTCGGTTTCGTGCGCCGTCCCTTTGCCAAACGATCAAGGATGCCCCTCCATGGTCCTCGCCGAAGGAAAAATGCACACGTCCGAGCGATGCCAAGTCCTGGGGCGCACGAGGAGGACGAGGAGGAGGACCCGACGGCAGGCCCGCACTTGGACATCCCCTGTCGGGGAGACGTCAGACTCGGGTACGGGGGACTCGGGTTGGCCCGACGGGGCCATCATAAAAATGACGAGGCCCCCTCTGAAATTTGACGCGAGCTCCCGCTGCAGACACCCCACGAAAAAACTGGACCGTCAAAATCCAGGACGCGCTCGTCAAAAAAGCCTCGGCAGACCCGAGCTCCGGCTTACTCGGGTCTTGCGTTTCCCCGATCCTTCGCCGCCGCTGGCGCTTCCGCCCGCGGCTGTACAAAAAAATTTAACAACAAAAAAAAACAAAAAACAAAAAAAAAAAAAAAAAAAAAAGTTTCCCCGATCCTGGGGCGGCCGAGGGGGACGAGGAGGAGGACCCGACGGCAGGCCGCGGCCCACCCCGCGGCGCCCCGCCCCGCCTCCTTCGCCCCGCCGCGCGGCCCCGGCGGCGCGGCGACCGCGAGGCGCCCGCGGCTCCGCGGCGGCGCGCCCCCGCGGGGCTGCCCGTCTTTGAGCAGGGGCCGACCGCCCCGGCATGCCTATACAGTCGGGGCGTTGACCTAAGGAACCCTGAATAAGGAACGAGGCCCCTTTTTCCCATAAGTTAAGCTTCGAGTTCCCCTCGAAGCCCTCAGCAAACCCAGAGGCGAACTGCAAAACAACTAAGGCACACCGAGCCCCTCCCCAACGATAAGGGTTCCTTCCTCAGCGCACCGACTGTAGGCCTACCACGACATGCTCTTCGAACCCAGACATGTTCCAAGAACAGAAGCAGTGTTCTTAGAACCAATGCCCGATGTGCTAAACCAGGACAGTCCCAGCAAGACATGTCCTAAGAACAGAAGCAACGCTCTTACAACCCAAGCCCGATGTGTTAAGCCAAGACAGTCCCAGCCAGACATGTCCCAAGAACACCTCGTTTTGGACGCCCGAAATGGGTACCGGAAAAATGGGTACTATGCCCAACAGCAAATTTTGTCCCAAACCAACAGCGGCCGCTGTTGGGCGGGCGGCCTTCTGTCTCGAATGGACACAGGCCGCGGCGGCGTGGACAGCGAATCCTGTTCAGAATGAACAGGAACTGCTGTTGGACATCGTACCCATTCTTTCAGCACCCGTTCCGTGCGTGCCGATTCTTAGAGCATTCTTCGGCAGGCCTATCGGCACGCAAGGACGCTCCGCCGCTGCTCGGCCTCCGCCCGCGCCGAGGGCGCGCACGGCGACGCGCGGCGCCGCGCGCGCGGCCGGCAGGGCGCCGAGGGCGGCCGCCGCCGCCGCGGCCGCCGCCGCGCCGGAGGCGCGCCACGGCCGGCGGGCCGCCCGCATGGGGCCGCCCAGGGATAGGGCGACGAAATCTATATGTCTACCTATCTATCTATATGCCCATATACACTACATATAATGTGCATGTATGCATCGATAAACAGAGTTTAATGCACATATATATATATACACATGCCTCTATCCACAAACCGAAATATACATTTAGCTATACATGTATGCATATATTTATATGTATATATATGTATACGTATCCAGATATATTGAATATAAGACAAATGTGTATTTAACTTTGTGTATATACATATATGCACACATAAACACAAGTATATATGCATATATATATATATGTACATATATATATATATATAAAAATATCCACGGCTCCTGGCCAGGCCCATCCGGGGCCCAGGAGCGGTGCATGTGCCTCCCCGGCCAAGCCAGGAGGGCGCACACGCCGCTGCATGGCCCCAGGATGGACCTGGCCAGGAGCCGTGGATGTGTATAGATCCCGTCGCCCTGGCGACTGCCCAGCAGACCACGCCAACCCAGCCCGAAGGCACAACTTTCGGGGGCAGAATTGGCCCGCGTCATCATAAGAATGCACGATAAGGATGCAAGGGCCCTGGACGCCCGTTTTGCGCAGCTTTTCGAGCGGGGCGCGGCCAACGAAAGTCTGGCCAAGGATGGCAAGGATGCAAGGGTACTCTTGTCAAGGTTGCCCATCCTTACCATGAGGGTTGACTGTACAGTCAACCCGCACAGTAGGAGCTCGACCACGAGAAAGCTTCCACAAGCCACCCCACCCTGAGACCCCAGGACGTCCATTGATTATTGATGTGGGAGCGTCACGCCTTCCCATAGCAAAACTATCGAAGCCCAAGAAACCCAGGGCAGCCAGGAGACGAGCAGGGCGTTTCTTGGCATGGGCTTCCAATCTAATGAGAACGAACAATCAGGATACCAGCCTTTGAAGGTCCTGTCGACACTCTGCGAACGGGGCGCGGCAAGCGAAAGCGGCCAAGGATGGGGGAAAAGCATACACCACACCACCCCGACGTCGTCCCCGACCCTCAAAAATCCTGGGATTGAAAGAGAGCCCGCCCCTGGTAATGACTATGTTCCAATTTCCGATGATAGTCTCGGATCCTTACTATGCAAATTGACCGCACGGGTTCCATCTATCTTCTTCCACGGGAACGGAGGGCAACGTCGGGCCTCCGGGCTGGGCTGGGCTGGTTTGGTGGGCCGTGAGGGAGGGGCGGCGGGAGAGGGGAGCGAGGGGGGGGGGAGCGGAGAGCCAACAAAATGCTCTCGTAACAAGCACCCCGACAGGCGGAGTCATTCAGAGGACGCACCCGAGGAAGGGATCAACCAGGACAGGGCTGTTCAGTAAGCGCCAATTGTGGATGCCGGGGTTGTTTTGCCTCCCCTGAGGGAGGGACTCACTCATGACTCATGACTCGGGACGCAAAGACGACATGCAGACCGAAGTGGAGAGAGGGACGTTTGCTTTTACCTGAATGACGTGGCGACCTGCTGCAAGGCGGGGCACGTTAACACACTCAACGGTCAGGGGAAACTCCGCCTGACTCAGGCGGCAAACCCCTGCTCAGCCTGCTCAGCACCTCGTTCCCAGCTTTTGTGGGTGGGGGGGCGCGATAAAAATGCAAGCTCTGATGAAACTCCACGCAGTGCCTCCCACAAGCCACGAGGCAGGCACACGCGAAGGGTGGCACTGCCCAGCCACAGGATGGTCCCAGCCCCCTCGGAGGAGGAGGAGAACAAGGAGGAGGAGGAGGAGGAGCAGGGAGAGGGGGAGGGGAGGAGGAGGCGGATGAGGAGGAGGAGGAGGAGGAGGAGGAGGAGGAGGAGGGAGGATCGGGTCACATTATCTCACACTTTGAAGTTCAAACAGCTTCTAGGTTCTCTGCAATAACCGCCCGTTGCAACCCCAGTTGCCCCAATGGGGTTGCACAACGGCTGGGGGGAGCACACAGTCCAATAGCTTGGCCAAATTTCGGCCCAACGATTGGCCGCATGGGCGTTTCCCAAAGGCAGGAAGCGGCGGTGATTCGCCGTAAGCGTCTGGTATATAAATGTGCATGCCCGGAGCGACCTTGCTTGTTAGGCCACCGACTCTCCCCGCATGGCAGTTTCGCTGAAGACATCGCCGATAATTCTGCTGCGGAGGGGATTCTGAATTCCAGGGAATGGCAGTTTCGCTTCATCTTCGAAACATCGGCTTCGGAGTGGACTCAGAGTCTCAACACATCTTGCGTTTCGCTCGAACCGTCCCCAATTGCCATGGGACCAACGAAGACAGACGTGATTCGCGCTCTCAGGCTTCTGGGACACGTACACATGGAATCGGTTTGGACCTCGAAGCTTTTGGCCGACGCGAAAGCGACTGTTTGATTCTTCCGCTCCGCACTCCGTGGGGCACGGGCGTCCAGCAGGCCCCAGAGATTTGGACGCCCGAAATGGGTACGGAAGAGATGGGTACAATACCCAACAACAAGTGTTGTCCCAAAACGACAGCAGCCGCTGTTGGGCGGGCGGCCGCCTGGCTCAGATGGACACAGGCCTCGGCGGCGAGGACAGCGAGTCCTGTTCAAAATGAACAGGAACTGCTGTCGGGCAGTGTACCCATTTTTCCTGTACCCACTTCGCTCGTGCTGGAGACACGGCCCCCTCGGAGCCTGCACTCGGCACCCCTCCCGCATGCCGCGCCACTCCCACGATGCCCAGGGGGCCGCAGGCTGGCCCCCACGGTGGCCGAAGGGGGGGGGCCTCGACTCGGCAAACACCCCGCGCACCTCGGGGGCAGAAGCTTGGACGCCCGAAATGGGCACGGAGAAATCCACGCGGACCTCTGAGTTTTCATGTTTATGCCACTTTTGTTCCCCCAGGGAAATATCCTGGCCCCCGCCATGATATCCACCCCCCCCCCAGCGGTGGGGCCAGGGACGCAATGAAACAGGAAGAGGCGCCAAGACGAGATATCATGGCCCCCGCCATGATACTCACCCCCCTTTATTGAGCCGCCCGAAATGGGTACGGAAATAATGGGTACTATGCCCAACAACAAATGTTGTCCCAAACCAACAGCGGCCGCTGTTGGGCGGGCGGCCTTCTGTCTCGAATGGACACGGGCCGCGGCGGCGCGGACAGCGAGCCCTGTCCAGAATGAACAAGAACTGCTGTTGGGCATCGTACCCATTCTTTCCGTGCCCATTTCGGGCGTCCAGAAGAAGGGGCCTCCGCGGGCGTGCGCGTGGCAACGCCCGGCCCCGACCCCCGTCGAAACCGCACACCCCGAACGCCCTGCGATGGCAAAGCCCTGCGGGCGAAGCTCCCCTCTTGAGGGGCCCGCCGTGCCTCCCGCCCGAGCTCGGCACGGCGCGCGGCGCGGCTCTCTCGCGGCACGGCACCGGGCACGGAACCTGGCAGCTCTCCCTGCCGTGGGCGCCTGGTGCCCCGCAAGAGAGCCCTACTCCCACTGGAGAATACAGAAGCAGACGTACAGGACGCGACCCGCCAACGCCAATCCCAGGGTCCGAAAACGCCCCCGCGGCCTTCGAGGGATCAATGGGGAGGCCCGAAAAAGAGGGCATATAGTACAGAGAGAGAGAGAGGGAAAGCGAGGGCGAGAGAGAGAGAACGATAGAGACTCCACGCCATAGAGCATAGGGCGACACTGGGTATATGGAGAGAGAGTAAGAGCGAAACACATGGAGATATAGAAAGGGAGAACAGGGGGGAGAGAGAGAGAGAGAGAGAGAGAAAGAGAGAGCGGGAGAGAGAAAAAAAGGCACAAGCGCTTGACGCGCATATGTAGATTCGTCTACGCACACAGCCGAGAGCAGGTTTGGGACAATCGAGCGCAGAGCGAATCCGAACACAAACAACGGAGCGAGATGCGATAACGAGGGGTGAGAACGTGTACATTGAAAAAAAAATGCACCAGAGAGAAACAGAGAGAGGGGGGGGGGGGGGGGGGAAAGGCGAGAGAAAGACGAGGGTGAGGACGTGCACATGGAGGTGCCACAACGAGGGGTGAGGACGTGCACATTGACAAGACATGCACCAGAGAGAAACAGAGAGAGAGAGAGAGAGAGAGCAAACCAGAGTGAGAGAGAAAAACGAGGAGAGGGCAGGCGTGGAATGCACCCTGCGTTGGGTACTCGTTTGGAATGAAACACCGTGGTCTCCGTCCTCCTCCCGTCTCCCCTCCTCCCCCGCCTGCCCCTCCTCCCCTGCCTCCTCCTCCTCCTCCTCCTCTTCCTCGTCCTCCTCCTCCTCCTCCTCCTCCTCCTCCTCCTCCTCCTCCCGTCTTCCCTCCTCCCCGCCACCTGTATCGCCGTCTTGCCTGGATGCTCGGTGGGGAGCTGCGATCTGCGAAGCTGTCGCCAATTCCACGGGCAACGGGGGGTCCAGCGGAGCGACGTCTTGCGCGGACCACCAGGAAACCTCGCCGTCCTTTGGGGGCTGCGATCTGCGAAACATTCGCCACTTTCGGGGGCTGCTAGGGGGTCCACCAGAGCGACGTTTTACGCGGAACACCCGGAGACCTCGCCATCCCTGGGGCCTGCGATCTACGAAGCTGTCGCCAATTTGCAGCGCTGCCGGGGGGTCCAGCGGAGCGACGTCTTGCAATCTGCGAAACCGTTGCAAATTTCGAGGGCCGCTGGGGAGCCCACCTAAATGACGCCTTACGCGGACCACCAGGAGACTGCCCTATCCCTGGGGGGGTTGTCATCTGCAAAACTAACACCACTTTCACAGTTCGCCGGGGGGTCCAGCGGAATGACGTTTCATGCGGACCGCCGGGAGCACTCGATATTCCTGTGGGGCTGCGATTTGTCAAACTGTCGCCACTTTCGAAATTTTCGGGGCTGTCCAGCGGGGCGACGTCTTGCGGACAACCAGGAAACCTCGCCATCCCTGGGGGCCTGCAATCTGCCAAACTGTGGCCACTTTCGCAAGCTCTTTGGGGATCCAGCTGAGAGACGTCTTACGTAGACCACCAGAACCCCTCGCCATCCGTGGGGGGCAGCGATCAGCGGAACTGTCGCCACTTCCGAAGGCTGCTGGTGGTCCACCAAACCCAACGTTGTTACGCGGACCACCAAGAGACCACTCGCCATCCCGCCACTGGCGGAACTGTCGCCACTTCCGAAGGCTGCTGGTGGTCCACCAAAGCAACGTTTTACGCGGACCACCAAGAGAACTCGCCATCCCTGGGGGGGCTGCGATTTGCAAAAACCGCTGCAAATTTCGAGCTGAGCGGACCACCAGGAGACCTCGCCATCCCTGGGGTGCTGCGATCTACGAAACCGTCGCCATGTTCGGCGACTGCTGGGGAGTCCACCGGGATGACGCCTGACCCTGACCACCAGGAAACCTCGATAACCCTGGGGTGCTAAGACCTGCGAAGCTGTCGCCACTTCCGAAGGCGACTGGGGGGTCCAGCGGAGGCACGTCATACGCGGACCACCACGAGACCTCGCCATCACCGGGGGGCTGCGATCTGCGAAACGCCCGCCACATCCGATTGCTGCTGGGGGGTCCACCGGGGTGGCGCCTTACGCAAACCACCACAGGAGCTCGCCATCCCTGGGGGGCTGCGACTTGCGAGACCGTAACCAATTTCGAGGGCTGCTGGGGGATCCAGCGGAGTGACGTCTTGCGCGGACCACCAAGACCTCGCCATCCAGTTGGGGTTGCAGCTACGGCAACTTCCGAATGCCATTTGGGGGGGGGCAGCCGGGTGACGTCTTACGCGGACAACACGGACAACTCGCCATCCCTGTGGGGCTGCGATGTGCGAAACGGTCGCCAACTCCTTTTGCTGTTGGGGGTCCCAGCGGAGCGACGTAATACGCGGGCATCCACGAGACTTCGCCATCCCTGGAAAGCTGCAGTATGCGAAACAATCGCCAATTCCAAGGTTTGCTGGGGGTGCAGCGGAATGACGTCTTACGCGGACCACCAGGAGACCCCGCCATCTCTGGGGCCCAGCGGAGTGACGACTTCTTCTGGTCACTAACGCCAGCCCGATGCCAACATCGACGCCGCGGACACGGTGCGCCTCGTCTTCGTCGAACCGCACTGTTCGACCCCGTTGGATTACCGGGAGCATAAGGTCACGCGCACCGGCCTGGCCATCTCCCATGCCGAAGTCCTGACGCCCACGGCATGCCACGGCCGCGCCATGCATCGCGGTGTCACTGTCGACGCCGGGTGCAAGGACGAGACAAAATGGATGACCTCTGGCCTACGGTCCGCCCGCAAACCTGGCGGCGCGCCTTCGAACGTTTAGCTCCCGCACAGTAAAAGTACAGGAAGGGAGCAGAGAAGCTGGCGGGCGAGCTAGGCCCCGCTCGCTGATCGCACGACTTATCAGCAAGGTTGTCCGATTCTTCGAACGCCGCGAGATGGCGCAGGCAACGCTGCATCTTCAGTAGTACCGACAAAAAGCAAAACTCTGCGGTTTCCTCCCGTCACTTTCGTCGTCGTCCACTGCCCCCTGCCAACTTCCCTCTGCTGTTGCCGCACTGACGGTTCGGCCCCCCGCGCGTCTTTTTCCTGCCCTTCGTTCCCGCCTCCATGTCCTCCTCAAGCCTGGGCCCTCGTTCATCGTCCTTCTGTTGTTGTCCTGTGAATCGTGCCACGCGAACGCACCCCATGTAGTTTGCACAACATATAACGGCGCCTGCACTGTCATTGTCCTGGTAAGTTTGGGCCAACTCCTCTTGTCACTT